TAGCGCTGCGACTATGTATGTAGCCCAACAGAGTGCAAACAGCAATTCAACTAACCAGAAGACTGGAGGTTGGCAGGGCTACGGACGAAAGGGATTTGGCACTGGAGGGGGAGGAATGAAGGCAATGCGGCCCAAGCAGCCCCCTAAGCCACAACAACTACACTATTGCGATGTCTGTAAGATCAGCTGTGCTGGACCTCAAACGTACCGTGAGCATCTGGAGGGCCAAAAACATAAGAAGAAAGAAGCTTCTCTGAAAGTACCGCAACAACCACCGGCACGTGGCGCAGGCAACAGTCTACGTTGCGAACTTTGTGATGTAACTTGTACTGGAAATGATGCTTATGCTGCTCATATTAGGGGGGCTAAACATCAAAAAGTTGTTAAGTTACACACTAAACTTGGTAAACCGATACCAAGTGCAGATCCAACAGTTTTGAACCCAAAACCAGCAGCCGCAGCTAAAACTACAGGGGTTAAGAAGCCAACTGTAACAGCTACTCCTAAAATTAACTTTGTTGCTTGTAAGTAATCTTTTTTTTTACAGATACACATTCTATGTTAAATTGAATATACAAATTTGATAGCTACGAAATACATATTAATATCATGTGTAATATTTGCAGCTGGAAATTTGGGGACTGTAAATCAAAATCAAGCCCCGGAAATTAAGACAGAAGAAACTGCAACAGAGGAAACTGTCGAAGAAGCAGCTGTTGATGAAAAAGATATTCAACCAGTTGGTCAAGAGTACATAGAAGAAAACAAATCCGAAGATGGAAAAATCATAAGTTTTAATTGTAAGCTTTGTGAATGCAGATTTAATGACCCCAATGCCAAAGATATGCATATGAAAGGAAGGCGACACAGATTTGCTTATAAGAAAAAAGTTAATCCCGACTTAGTTGTTGATATGAAACCAAGTTTGAAGCAAAGAAAGATGTTAGAAGAAAAATTTCGTAGACAACAAATGCGAGACGATTATTTACGACGTAGAGAAGAAATTAATCAATTGGGACCTATGGGTCCAATGATGGATGAGGAAATGATGTATTGGGAAGAAAGACGACGCTATGAAGAAGAATGTGAGTACTATGAGTGGTATCGACGCTATGGACGTGGACCTGGAGCTCCACCAATGCCACGTCCTTTCCCAGGACCACCACCGATGATGATGTTCCCTGGTCCTCAAAGAAGGCCAGATTCATCAGATGACAAACATGTATTAGCTCATCATACCACCATATATCCTAAAGAACAGGAACTGCTGGCAGTTCAGAAGATCGTTTCACATACTGAAAAGGCATTGAAATTTGTATCTGATACATTGGCAGAAGCAGGTAATTATTTCTTTTTTTATCTTTTTCTTATTTTATATTTTATATCTGTAGTATAGTTAAAATATTTTTATAATTGCAGGCAAGAAAACAGCTCCATCTATTACTAATGCTACTTCAACGGCTCCAACTACGACTACACCGCAGCAACCTCAACAACAGCAGTCACAACAACAGCAACAAAATGCAGATATAGTCAAAATTAAAGAAGATTCTGACAAAAAGAAAACAATAACGCCGCAGAAAGAAGATGGCAGCGACGGCAATTTGTTTTCATTCCAAAAGGAAAAAGAAGATTCCAGGATATTAAGAGGGGTAATGCGTGTTGGCAATTTAGCGAAGGGACTTCTATTATCTGGTGACAATCACGTTTGTCTTGTAGTCCTGTGTGCAGAAAAACCAACACGGTTAGTTGGAAAAATTTATGTATTTGTATATAAATATATTAATTTTGTACACAAATTCATATATAAATATTTTCTTATTTACAGATCATTATTAAATAAAGTTGCTGAGATACTTCCGGCACAGTTGAAGATCGTAGCTCCCGAGGATACTTACAATGTTGGGAAACACCCAGAGTCAGCAGCATTAACTGTTTCAGGAGGCAGCGTGACTGTTAGCGTAACACTTACCAGTCCTTTAATGCGCGAAACTCCCAAACCAGCTGCTGCTGCAGGTGATTTGATCGTTTTATATTTTCATAGTGGCCAAGAAAAGGATAACTGATAATTTTAGAGATTTTACAGAAAGCATTTTTTATTTTCATGCTACTTTCTTGAAAACGTGGTTTATGAATTTTGTTTGTTCTTTTCATGGCCCAAAAGCTTCTTTGTAAATTTTTCTAAGCACCAGGATGATGCAGGGGCAGCCAAGGACTTCAACGGTTGCCAGTGTATATACGCTCTAACATGAAAAATTCCTTTTTCTTTTTGATACAGCCGCATTTTAGTGTGTCCACGACTGAGTATAATTTATATTTTTGAAAGGCATTACTATTTAAAAATATGTAAGAGCGTAGATAGAAATATATTAACAGCCATTTTTTAACGGAAAAGAGAGAGCGTAAACTTGGTACGATTAGATGTCGCTTTTCTTCGTTTTAAGTTAATTTGTAGTAGTATACTTTATAAGTTATGTCGATAATAGTTAAGCTGGAGTCTCCATTAAGGAAGATAATATGTTATTATGAACGTGGACACGCTTTTGGTATGAGGAAACAACGCTGAGGCAATCTTAAAACTATGGACTTTTTGATCATGCATTAATAATTTTAATGAAAACCCTCTATCATCGAATGCTGTACGCATAATACACAATGCGCAGTTAACTCCTTATTCTTAACCGACGATTCTTTTGATAGCGTTATTTTAATATTCAATTTTAAGTAACGCTGTCAATTTTAGTAAGAAACGTCGGTCGTTCTTTTGTAACGCGAAGAAAGGACGTCCAGGAATAGGAGTAATGCATCATTGTTATGTACTACATTCGATTAGGTTTATTTTTATTTCAATGAGAATGTTTTAGACTATGCCCTCAAGTTTGATGTACTTGAGTTAAAATATAATTATACATAGAGGGAAAACCCAAGTTGGGCATGATCAAACACTCTAAGTGTTGTCTAAGCGTGTTGTGCTTTCTTTGTTGGAATCTCAGATAATGCTGGACAGCAGCAACAGGGAGCTGCTCAACCGCAAACAACGCCCGCGGCGCCCGCTGTGACGAAACCGGATCCACCGGATGTACTTCCCAAGGCTAAGTGTTTGGAGGCTTTAGCTGCACTCAGGCATGCCAAGTGGTTTCAGGTTTGAATCAATCAACTCTCAGTTCAAGATCTCGAATTGTCAGTGCCATTTTGTTGGCACTAGTGACTGTTTTCTGTTATTTTTTCCTAATACGTGAAACGCGTGCAAGTTGTCCTCTCTCTCTGTCCGCCAAAAAGAGCAGTCTTAGAACTTCCAGCCTTGTGACAATTTTATTTTTATTACTATCTATCTTCTTGTTGATATGATTTTGTCTGAAATGTTTATTTGATCACGTTTGATGTTTCAGTTTTGTAGGTTTGCCAATCCACTTTATCCACTAATATTACATTTTATGGTAGTTAATCCGAAAATCTTTGTCATGTACTATTTGTAATTTATAATCAATGTGTTAGTTATTATAAGTGGATGGTAGTGGCAATATTTTATTATTGGCAGAATTTGTTTAAAAAGGGAAAAAGGAAGAGAAAGAAGTGTATGTATAGCATAATTTCAGAAACAGAATACATCGAACGTGCAATCAGATAGTCTCAGGCAAGAAGTATAAGCATAATGTAAACGTGAATTGTAGCATTTAAAATATTAATGCACATCAAAAGCATTTACATTTGCTTTACTTCAAATCATCAACATCCAGAATAATAGGAAACTGTTTGCAGAAAGTCGTGTTAAAAGTACGTAATTTTTCTTCAAAAGATGTAGTTTTGTTTGTTTTGTTTATAATGCACTAAATTGCTTTACGATGCTTATGATCAAGCTTATTCATTATTCTGGATTAATCTTAATGCATTGTAGCCTAGACTGAGTCTGTTCTAGGTCTGTCTTAGAAATCCTTGAAGTTAGTGTATTTCTCTTTATACATATGTACTTTATTTCATACTTTCTACATAATGTGCATTGAAAGCACTGTTAAATATTGAAAGACAGACAAGCACAAACACACAGTGGTGTCATAAGTATATCGGGTGTTTTTCAGTTATAAGTTCAATAGTTGTATTTGGCAGTTCGACAAGTGTACAGTTTTTCTGATACGTTGCACTTTTTTTTAAATATTATGTTAGGCATTAATTGTTCAGGAAATACTTAATAAACACCCGATAATTTTGATATGGGCTAATATTTAGGAGCTATAGGCACGAGGCTGGGAGGATAGCTAAAGCCCACACAAAGCAAATTAAAAGTAGTTTAGGGTGTCGCATCTCCAGAAGACTCAGAGACTTTAAAGTGTGTATCAAATTGTATGTACTAAAATACTGATCGTATTTAACAGGCTAGAGCAACTTCACTGCAGAGCTGTGTTATGGTCATTCGCATAATGCGTGATCTTTGTAACCGTGTACCCACGTGGGGACCATTAAACCCATGGGTTAGTATGAAACGACTCTTTTATGATACATATATGATATCTGATTTTATTAGAAGTAGAACAAAGTGGTTTGTAACTATTCATTGATAATTCAAAAAATTCAAAACTGAATACAGTATTGTCTTGTATAGTGGCCGAGGATTTTGTCTATTTCACGTTAATGTAGAATTTCTGATATAGACTCTTCTTTATATTTTGGCTGGATTCAGTCCCGGTCAGAATATAAGGATTAGATAGAAACAAACAGGTGTTCAATCTTCTTTCAGGCACTAGAATTGTTAACTGAGAAAGTGATTAGTACTGCTGGAGGACCTCTTAGTCCAGGTGAAGCATTAAGAAGACTTCTAGAATGCGTTGCTGGCGGAATATTGCTTCCAGGAAGCCCAGGTATATCGTAATATCTTCCCGCTAATTAATATAATCAGTACAAAAATTCAAATTTTTTAAAATCGTAAAACCAAATGATGATTTTGATGACGAGACTGAGTGTATTGTGAAATCCATTGTAGGTTCCAAGATCGAGTATTTCGATTTTTTTATCTCAATGGAAATTTTGCAGTATTGCATAGATGATTGGCAATCTGATTTTTATATACTTATATAAAATTTTATATAGTTTTGTATTGAATTACACTGGTTATAAATAATGTATTTCTTCATAGGATTATCTGATCCGTGCGAAAAAGAGCCAGTTGATGCAATAGGCAATATGACAGCCCAACAAAGGGAAGATATAACTGCTTCAGCGCAACATGCTTTACGATTAGTTGCATTTCGTCAAATTCATAAAGTTTTGGGCATGGAACAACTTCCGCCACCTAAATATAAGGGCCGATATGCTAGAAAACGAAGACGTGACAACAGTAATGGAGAAGGAACAGATAGTGAAGCTTCAAAAAAGGATAAAAAAGCAGAGGAGATCAAAATGGAGACTGACTCCAAGTAGATCTACCAAAATATTCGCTTTATCGATTTACTCATAACTTATATAGTATAAGAAATAAAATTTTCTCGTGTCAATTGCTTGTTCAATGAGGTTGTTTCTATATTGGAAAGATATCAAAGTTTAAAACAAGACTAATGATCTATTAATACAGTATTGTAATTATTTGGAATGTATCTCCCTTTGGACAACCAATAGCGCATCGTTTTAATTCGCAATCGTGATTTTAATGGCGAAAGAAATTATTAGGTCGGATTATATCATTGCACCTTGACTTTGTTTTTGAATGTATAATAATATCATAGAGTTATCACGTTTCTATTAGTACTAAGTTTAATATTTTAATGACAAAACATTATGCATTGCTTTGTCTGTTATGAGCAACTTAATTTTTTAGCAAGTTCCAAACATCTTTAAAATAATGCAATATTTCGGATTTCATTTATTAAATTTATTTTACGTAAATTCTAGTTTTTAGAATTATTATAAAAATAAGCATGATGTTACTTTTAAAATAGTTACACTTTTGCAAATATTTCACTGGATACTTCTAAAAAGACTAAAGATCTTTCCCAAACAGGCAATTGGTACGATTAGTTCCAGCACTAGGATTTTGTCAAAGGAAATGATGAATGCGTTAATTAGTTTTGAATTACTTATTTAGCTATATTTCAAAGTCACAATGTATGACGAAAAAGTTTAATAGAAAGGGTGGTGTAAAAACTGAACATTTATAAGTTTTGAAAAGTTAAAAGTAGGTTAGTTTGTATTGAGAATTCGTGTGTATGTTGTGTGTGTAGTCGTAAAGAAGTGCAGAATGTTTCCCTGCATAAACAACTCCTAACAACGTATGTTCACACCGCGTGTACTGATTCACGCAGAAGATTCCAAGAAAGCAGAGTTGAAAAATCAATCATTAAAATAAACGCTTTGCTGTCTAATGAGGGTTAAGTGCACGTGTCAAGAATTCTTAATATTTTCCTGTAGTTTGTTTACAAATTTCACCGGAAATTGAATACTATTTCAAAATGTTCACATTTAATAAATTTTTTTGACCTAGTGTATGAATCTTCTGTTGTACACATGCAATGATTGAATAAATCGAACATGCATGAGATAAGAATAAGGTTTTCTTCACTTCCATATTCCTTTGCATATTACAATATCGTGTAAGAGCTTTTACAAATAAGATGAGTTGATAATAAGCATCCTCTTTAACAAGAAGGCCACACACACAATAGCACTTCGATTGTAAGATTATAATTAGCTAATCTTTTACAGAAAAAAAGAACACTTGAGATAAAAAGAAAGTTAATTTATTTTTGGATGGCACCGAGTAGAACTGAGACTGATATTGTATTAATTTTTTAATGAAACTTGTAGAAGATAGGATATAAAAGCAAAGGAAATATAATTTACGTTTAATTTAAGAAGATAATTTATATAAATTACGAACATAATTTCATATAACATTCATTCTGTTTGGTGCAACTAGTCCTTTCAAATAAGTGTATTAATGATATTTAAATTTCATAATTTCGATCTTTCTGCTTCTTATCTTCGTCCTTTAATTAGGTTGGGCTGATACAGGTTTTGAATCATTATAAGACAGAGTATTAAGCCATTTTCGTTTTTTCTGTTTTACAGTATTAATTAAAGTATGTTTGTATATATTTAAATATATGAGAGACATGTGTAATATCTTTAATTTATTATTATTTGTTAAACCAAATATTAATGTAATGTAATGCGCTACATATCTGCAGATATATTACAAAGGAAATTCACAAATTTTTTTCATTCAGTACCTCAAATCTACAAAAACGTGTGTGTAGAGCCTTTATAAAGTTTCAAATCTAAATAATATATATTATCTTTTCAGTATTGAGAACTGGATGATGTACTGAAATTAAGGTGGGAATTACGTTATATTTTTTTCATATAGAAAAATCATATCAAACATTCGCTGTGCCATTCTAATTATACTTTACTTTTAAGAACAATATGTGATTTATTTCATGTGAGAAAAGCTATTACGTGTTTTATTATAAACGTACTTCGATAGTAGAAGGTAAATATATTGTTCTTAGAGTTCAGCTATATTATCTGCGAGATTTTTCGTTTTTTTTCCTTATACTAATGATTTGTTGTAATTATTGATCAATTACATAATTGTCTAGGTACTTAAAGCTGGTTACTTCGATGTTAATGATGAAATATTAAATTAGCACGTTGAATGCCACGGGGGTCACCGGTAGCCGGAGCGACAAGATTAGTAGAAATACATAATTTAAACAAATGTCAATAGTTATAAATTTTTCATTATTACCATTGTTAGTACAATGGTATGACGAAATTAATGAAACATAAAACATATAGAAATAGTTTTATTTATACGTGAAATATAGACCTATTATGTGTGCATATTGCGATGTGTCATGTTGAAATACTCTAAACAAAGTAAGGGTGAATCAGCACAGTCTTCACAATATTTTACGACTTATAAAAAATTAAATAGAAGACATGAAGTGCAAAAATTTTTGTAGCATATAAAAGTATAATAAACGCTCCTACCTAATTGTTAAACGCTCTCGACAAGAATAAAGATGTGGAACAATTATTTAACAACGCGAAGAAATAATATGAGATAATTGATAATCGCAAAAAAATGTGATTCGCGTGAAGTCGCACTTTAGTGCCATGGGGGTCGCCGGTGACCTCTGTGAGATAAATTCATTAAACATAATTATACATCATAACTTATCTCTTGTAAGTAATATTTCAAAATAATATGTATCGCATAATACAAAATTCATCATCTTTAATTTAAGAAGATAATTTTTGTAAATTACGAACATAATTTTATATAACATTCATTCTGTTTGATGCAACTAGGTGCCACGGGCAATCTCTGTAAAAATAGAATGGCATTCAACATGTTAAAATTGTACATAGTATCGTAAGTAAACGCCTGTTTTTTGAAATTGTCATGTATTTCATGTAGAACAATCATATAAACAGAATTTTAATCTATTTTCATAGTCATGATTTGTCTAATTGCATTTTTGTTTATTTTTGTTGAAATATAAAAAAAAAAATGCTATTTTCATTACGTTCTGCCAAAAATATTTGGTAAGTAATATCAACGAAATGTTATTTTAAAAAAACAATTATATCGCTTTAATTACATTAAAATACATGTATAATCTTGATTGCAGTGCCTAATTTGAAATATTACTTCAATATCCTAATATTTTTTTGTAAAATAAATTCTTATTATCAAATTAATAAGTTTTCATCAATTCCAAGATTATTACATCAGCCTAGTATCGTATTGCGATGTAGCATGACTTTAATATTGATGTGACACGTATGAATAGTGAATTGTTTTTGTGCGACAATTTTTATTATTTGAATTTTTAGGATAATTTAATATCAAATCGATCAAATTGCTTAGAAGATTAAAATCGACTTAAATTGATTAATGTGTTCAATTGATTGTAAAATTCATCCAAATAAAAAATATTCTAAACATAACCAACGTATGCTCTATATACAAACACGCACGTACACATACATAACTTCTTAAATATTGAGATTTCTGGAAAATGATAAAATTAGTATATTGTGTATAAATGTTGGTTATATGTATAGCGAATTTACTAGAAAATATATTCTGAAAAACAATGAATCATTAGTTTTCTTTGTTTAACAGTTTTCCTATGCGCCCTCTAGCTGTATAATATTATCATCAACATGTGACAGCTCATAGAAACATATGTATTTACATATAAATAAAAATTTCGGTTGGTGGAGACGTATCATTTCAAAACTAATAATGTGCCATAAATGATTTTATAAACGGTATCAATTTAATAAAATTTATTCCGCAAAGAATAGCCTTTGTCTCAGAAACCAACCAAACGTAGCGACGTCAGAGATTCAATGACGATAAAAATATAAACCAATAGGCATCTTTCTAGGAATCTTCTGACATGCTTGCGCATGATCAGTAAGACTTATTATTCCTGATATAAAAGGAACGTTCTCTGTAGTTTCGATTCAGTTCAGTATAGGACGTTGGGTGTTTTCAGAGGCAGAACGTGAGACTCCTTAAATTTTATTGAAATTTTTGCTGTAACGAGCTACTACAAAGAAGGTAAAACTTTCGTTTGTTTATTATATACATTATGAATTTGTTGTATTTTAATTTTCGATAATTGTAGATTTTCTTATTTTTTCCGATTTTTACTTCCTTTTTGTCCTAAATTATTTTATTCTTACTGCTGAATACATTTCCTGTAACAAGACGACCAGTGCTGAACAAATTTTGCAATCGATTGGTTATACGCTATGTGAAATCTACGAATTTAATGGATTCAGTATGACGGACATGCATTTCAGAGAACGTATTATTACAGTTTCAGCAGTGAAAGAGTTAATTATCAGTATTTAAATTCTCCAATGCACTGTTTAGAGAAAATAATAAAATAATAATGCAACATAATTTAATGTAACAGTAGTGATCTTGAAGACGTTAACCACAAATGCAAAGTTTAAGATCTATTTTTAACAAAATTTCGAAGGATGTATTTTCTATATATTTAAAATACATATATTAATATAATCGAAGAATCTTTAATAATTAATTGTTGAGAAAACTCTAGAATTTTCCATATCATTCGTTACGTTTCTGCTGCGTAGTAACAGAAAACAAAATGGCGATTATTGATTCTCCAGTATGACGCCATTACCTCTGTGTCACTTAGCATTATTCAGATTGAAGCCTTTCATACGATTATTCTAAAAAAGTGCACAAATAAAAGCCGTTGACTTTAAGCTACAGCGAATTATACCTCGAGAATAACTATATTTGTGGGATAATATGGAAAATTTTTAATTTATATAATTCTTTTTAATATAATTGTGCACAAAATACTACCATTTTTATTCTGTTGAAATGAAAGACAAAGATTATTTTGTTTCAAAACGATACGTGAAGTGATTTATGATGCTAGGAATATATCTGATGAAAGCTGTCTGAAGTATCAGATATGATAGAGAGTTATGTAAAAAGTAATATAAAAATGGTACTAAATGCAGGAAACAAAAAGCTTATAATATGCTAGTAGAATACATAAATAATGTACTCAAATTTCAAAGAGAACATTTCTTTTCGTTAATATGAATACATGTTAGTATCCACTAATTAAGTACAAAATTTATTTTATTTTGTAACAGATAATCATGCAGATCTTCGTCAAGACACTGACAGGAAAAACTATCACCCTTGAAGTTGAAGCTTCCGATACAATTGAGAACGTGAAAGCAAAGATTCAAGATAAAGAAGGTATTCCTCCAGACCAACAGAGGTTGATCTTTGCTGGTAAACAATTGGAAGATGGGCGCACACTTTCTGATTACAATATACAAAAGGAATCAACCCTGCATCTTGTACTTCGTCTGAGAGGAGGAATGCAAATTTTCGTCAAGACCCTTACAGGAAAAACGATAACTCTAGAAGTTGAGGCATCAGACACTATTGAAAATGTCAAGGCCAAGATTCAGGATAAAGAAGGTATTCCACCCGATCAACAGAGATTGATCTTCGCTGGTAAACAATTGGAAGACGGACGCACGCTGTCAGACTATAATATTCAAAAGGAATCGACTCTTCACCTTGTTCTTCGCCTTCGTGGTGGTATGCAAATTTTCGTGAAGACCCTTACAGGAAAAACTATCACACTTGAAGTTGAAGCTTCCGACACGATAGAAAATGTAAAAGCAAAAATTCAAGATAAGGAAGGAATTCCGCCAGATCAACAGAGATTGATTTTTGCGGGTAAACAACTGGAAGATGGACGCACACTATCAGATTACAACATTCAGAAGGAATCAACTCTCCACCTTGTTCTTCGTCTTCGTGGTGGTATGCAAATTTTCGTCAAGACCCTTACAGGAAAAAC